CGGTACCTCTCATCCTCCTGAATCTTTCCCTCATCAAACCAATCCTACGCAGCTCAGCCACCATGGCCATGTCAGCGTCGTGCATCTTCTCGGGATCCCAGGGGGAATGAGCTTCCTGAAGAGCCACGTAAGCCCTCTTCAACGCAGCAGCCGCGGTGAAAACTTCCTCCATCACCATCTCCATCTCCTGCACCGTCTCCACACTCACTCCGCTCCCACCGGTCTTGCTCTTAACCCTAATAGTCTCATCTTTCCCAGGCTCCTTCTCCAATGAGTCTTCGTACTGAATCTCTCCATCATCGTTCTCCTCTTCTTCGGAATCGTACTCTTCCCGGCGGTTCCCAGCTAGATCTTGCCGGCCGGCGGAGAGGGGATGCAACAAACAAGACGCAGTCACTCGCTGAATCAGATCGGAGAAGTTAGAAACCTTGTTCGCCATTTCTCCTCGCTTCTTCGCCTTACAAAAATCGCCGCCGTTCTTACTGCGAAAATAAAAGCAGAAACTGAGGAATCGAAAAACACCGGAATCAATGGACGGAGAGGTTTACCTGCGGGAATGGTGAGAGTTGTAGTCCGATTTGAGAGCAAATCTGGGAGGATCTCGATTGAACTGAACAGAGTACCAGTACTCAATGTCCTTAGGCTCTGTATCTAAGCTCTCTCGATCATTCTTCTTCTTTTTGCTGCACAGTGAAAATATACCAACTCCGTCAGTTTACACCACCGCCACCGGGATGATAATTTCTCCGGCCGTCCAATGATCTGATTTTTTAAATGAATATATGTATATCCAAATTTCTCAAGAGTCACTTGTCAGCGTCACTGTGGAGAAAGGAGACAAGTGAAGTGCACTTACTAAGAGTAAGGACTGTTGAAAATTACCGAATTATCCCCTATTTTTTCATGTTTTTGACCCCTGACTTTTGTAATTGTAAACGATGTAAAAGTTTTGGTTCTTTCCACAACTTTTTTTATTTTGTACACACATATGCACATGCTCTCTCCTGTTTCTTTCCTTTTATTTTCTACAAATATAATAATAGACCCCATTCCTTCGTTTAAACTAATTTTTATATGCCAATGCTAATATCTTTCACCCAAAACAAGTAAATATTGCCAATTTAACAATTTAGGCAACGATTATTGAAAGGAAAAAAACTAAAGTTAATATACTTTGTATTGGTAAAAGCTATACATAAGTTGGAATTTAATTATAAAAGCAATCGTTTATCATAATTTTTTTATTAATATAATTTTCTGCAATCATACAAGTTTATTATATATTTTAAAAGTTTTTAAAATATATAATTTGTTTTTGTATTCTCTCTCCTAAAAGACAAATTGTAAAGAATAAAAGGTAGCCATTATTAAGGGGCGATTATCTCAGTTGTTATTTTTTTATTTGTTAATCTCTCCTTTTTTTGATTGGAGGAGAAAGTGATCATCATCCCATAAAAGGTCATAACATGGATCTTGTCTTAATCCAAAATCATGTAGAAATTCTCGTCTCTCAGTCTCTCTCCTTTTTTCTTCTATAGTACTCTATGATATGAGTATATCAAAATATATCGATAAATCCAAATTTTTTATCATTAAACACATGTTAAGGAAACACTTTAACCGCATCATTACTTAATTGAAACAAGAAAGTACTATATTTCTATAAATTAATCAAAAGTGATATTCTTGAAAGAAGAAGAAGAAAAAAGAGAGAGAGTTGACCTGTGATTCCTGGGGTTAAGCGAGCATAAAAGTATGCCTGGCAACATCTTCTCTCCTCCGCTCTCAGGCTGATATTATATGGAAACGAAGAGTGATGTGATTATCAAGTTGAGGTTCATTAGTTTGCTTGCTAGTATATGTATAGCGCTCGCATATTCTCAATCGAAGCTTTGAGAAGCTAAATCTGGCCAATGAGGGAAATAAAAAAGTATTGGATGTGACAAGTATCAAACACTATTATTAATCAAATTATTATGAGATTATAATTGAGGGGTGTCGATTTTTCCCTTGTTTTAAGTTTCAACATCTAGCCATTTGTTGTCTAGTTCATTTGCTCTCTAACAAATCGTATAAACGAACCTTCATTGAGAAATATCCAGAACCAAGATTTGCGAGAAAGATATATACAATAGCTTAGGGAAGCTTACTCATCCATTGATGTTTTTCTTTCTATGTGTCTCTTGTTCACGTAAAATTAGGGGTACGTCAACGTATCCTCAAACTTTCTCAGCAGTTTCTTTTTTGTTGTATTTGTTTTCCTCTTAAACCTATATTTCTTATTGCAAGTGTGTCCTAAGATTAAAAAGTATACTTGATTAGTAGTACGTGGTAGGTTATACACCGGACCATACATACACTTAAAAACAAAAGTGGAAGCCATTGAAAGTATAACTTATCCTAATCCAAGCTAGCGACACTGTTTGACAAATCCAGCACCCCCCCCCCCCCCCCAATTTTTTTTGGGATTCTTTTGTACTAATATACGTTTTAGGAGAAACAGTACATGACCATAGTTTGTACTTCTTGTATCTATATCTTAGAAATGTTGTCAAAATTTCATACATCTTTGTGTTTATTGCATCCAAATTGATTCCACTCGTAGCTCGCTCCTTATAAACGATAAAATGTTTTGAATATTTGTTAGATATATAGTTTAGTATATCTTCCACTGATATGAACTAGCTAGGTTCAAATTAATCATTTCAATAAAGTTACTAATCAGTATTCAAAGTTATATAAAATTACTAATCTATACGATGTATGTACATGCATATATACCGATTACTGACTATAGTTGACCTGAAAACCAAAAAAAAAATAAATGGGAGACAAGATTAGTAATCATATAAAATATTATTATGTGTAGGAGATAAATACGATGATAAAGGATATAAGAGGAAAGGGTGTGTCCAAAGGCGTAGGACATGAATAAGGTCTGGAGACAAAGGTGATATGTGGTGTCTCCAAAAATTGACTATGTATGTTGTTAACAAGCATTTGTGTTTTACCAATCTTTTGGACTCACCTCTGTTTACATCTTTCTTTCTCTCTTTTATTCTTTTACTCTCATTGTTTTTGGCCATTTTGTTTTCTTCTTCCACACCCACATTCATACATATATAGTATATTGTATCATGAACTAGTTAGTAACATTCATGAACCAGCTAGTAACATACATAAGTTTCATTATTTACGTATAATATAGAAACATATTGATCCACCGACGTTTTTAGCTAAACGCACAACCAGGAAGATAAGATAAATGAGTATTTTATTACCTGGTAAAAAAAGAAAAAGTTTTTACATTACAATTTACAACAAAAACAAGAAAAAGGAAACTCTAGCCACGTTTTCTAGCTAGATTATTTCACAGTTCATATATACTGATTGTGCCTTTAGGATTTATGGGAAGAAATTCTAAGGACAGAAGAGAGACATAGACATATATAGATAGATCATGCATGCTTTCGCATTTGCGTGATCGACAGTTGAATGTAAGCACTGGTATATTGCTAGAGAAGTAAACCTATATATATAAGTCAATGTTTTTGTATAACTCACAATGAAATAAACAGAAGTCCATGTCTTTTCACACTAAGGTACACCTTTCAAACTACTCTCTATCATATTTGGCAAGCACGGAACAATCTGTTAGCAAAGGATATAATCTTATCCCTTTAGGGAATATACGCATATCTCTGTATAGTTAAGATACTCTTAGATATGACTCTCATGTATAAATACTTCCCTATGATTAATGTAAACATCATCGAGCATTCTAAACTTACATGGTATCAAAGCCATAAGATCTCTCTGATCTCGCGATCCCTCTTCTTCTTTCTCTCTCTTGATTCTTTTCCCCTCTCCTCTGTTTCTTCCCTCTCTCGCGATGGCTGCTCCCACACAGGGCTCATCTGACAAACCTTTTGGCATCAGCCAAATTCGAGCGTACATCCCTATTGTCCTCGATCTCGACAAGATGAATTACGATGTGTGGAGAGAACTTTTTGAGACTCACTGTCTCACATACGGCGTTCTCGATCACCTCGGCGGCGCTCCTGAAACTACTCATGCCACTGACAAAGTGTGGAAGGAACGGGATGGTCTCGTGAAGATGTGGATCTACGGCACCATTACCGATTCTCTTACTGAAACGATCTTGAAGCCTAAGAGCACTGCGAAAGACATCATCGAGCATTCTAAACTTACACAATCGAAGTCATGGAGATAGCCCTTGCACGCAATCTCTTTTTCTTAAGAATATTGACAAGAACATCCGCAATAGATTCAACTCAATTCTTCACCAAGGAGATTACTCTTACAATGAGGGGCTAACCTACTGGTTTGCTACTCGTCCTCCTCCACATTGATCGTTCTGGTTTCTGAGTTTCACAGTTGGAGTTACAGCTCATTTTTGCTTGATCTCATTGTTTCAAATTCAAGTACACAGTCATTATAAAACAGTTTTTTTTTGTTTGAATAAATTTTACATTCAATTCAAAAAAAAAAAAAAAAAGATGATTAGGCCACAGCCGCAGAATCGTATGTATCAGTGATCAAAACTCAAAGCCAAGTCGTTTGACTACTCATAGTCACTGAATACGTCTTCAAACTTGGTTCACTTTCTTCGCATAAGTAGGGATGATGCACTGACCCAACACAAGAACAACTGTATCTCAAAATCCTCAATTTTCTTTGTTTGGGCCTTAAACAAGTTTTATTTATGGGCCGATGTCGAAAGCAAGCCTTATTGGCCTATATTTTAAATATTTAGAAAAACTAAATTAAAATATCTCTCAATCAGACAAGAATCATAAGAGCATATCAGAGATGCTGACAGACAGATTAATACGCTGTCGTTTTAACGTATTTTTTCATAATATTCCAAAGAATTTCATTTTTTCTTTTTCCTTTTCTTTTTCCACATTTTATCTGTGAATGAATATTATTTATAAAAATAAATAAAAATCAATCTAAAAAAAGGGGGTAAGAGGTCTGGATTCGTCAAAAAGGTCTTTGAGAATCCAAAAACGTCTAAATGGTTTAGCTCTCGATTTCTCCCTTGGATTCCCTTCCTTCCTCCCCCCCCCCCTCCGGCTTCAAGTCGCCGGATCTTCTCGATTTCCGATTCAACTTCTACTTCTCTTCCTTCCTTTTGTATAACATACACGACGACGCTTCATATTTTTTTTTGTTGTTTGTGATTCCGTTGTTTGAATTCAGGTTAGCAAAAATCTAAACTAGTTATGTTGTTAATCAGATCAAGATCTTTGTCCTCATTAGTGTTTCCATGGATTTGTTTTTGTCCTGAGCTATTTTGCTGCTTGATTTGTAGGAAGAGGCATGTAAAATTCAGGATTTCCGGCGATTTGGTTGGGGCGTTTGGAGAAATTTCGAGTTAATAAAATAGTATTGGTAGCAAGCTTTTTCTTTTAATTTGTTCTGTAGATTTTTTGTGGATTAATGGTTGAAGGTGAGAAATGGAGCTTGGATGGGTTTGAAGGGATTTTGTGTTTCCGTCGAGGAGATGAGATTGTTGGAGATTGCAGCAAGTCATCTCATTCGTATTCACGGGTTTGCTTGATTATTATCACATAGGGACTTTTGGAGCAACTCTTGAGTTTTGGTTGTTTAGTCTTGACCAAAAAGTTTTAGGCTTTTTTAGCATTTCAAGCGTCTGTTATTATTATTAATAAGTGGGTGGGTTTGTCGAGAGAGCTTAGAGATGGATGAAGAGGCTACTTCTTGGATTAGGAGGACTAAGTTTTCTCAAACTGTTTCTTATCGTCTGAATTCCTCAAAGTTAGCTTCTCTCCCTTTTATGGTTAACCAAGATAAGTCTTCTTCTGGACTGAAAACTAGACCACCCCAGAGATCTTCATCATCGGCTTCATCCTCATCCTCATCATCATTGGATCCCAAGTTGGTTTCCAGTAATTCACAGACTACTACGGAAGATACCACCAGTTTGGAGGCTGATGTTTATGTTGTTGATTCTGAAATACAGAGAAACCCTGTTACTAACAAGCAGAGATCTGTTTCTCCTTCGCCTCAGATGGCTCTTCCTGATGTGTTTAAGGAAGCTAGGTCTGAGCGTAAGAGATTTTCTACTCCACATCCAAGGAGAATGGAATCTGAGAAGGGGATGAAGCCTAAGCTATCTCATAAGAACTCCTTTGAAAAGAGATCGTTTAACTTGCGGTCTCCTTCAGGTCCTATCAGAGATCTTGGCACTCTGAGAATTCAAGAGAGGGTGAAGAGCAAGAAGGACACAGGATGGTCTAAGCTTTTCGATAATACTGGCCGTAGAGTAAGTGCTGTTGAAGCTTCTGAAGAGTTCCGCGTTGATATGTCAAAGCTGTTCTTTGGGCTTAAGTTTGCTCATGGGTTATATAGCCGGCTATACCATGGTAAATATGAAGATAAAGCTGTTGCCGTGAAGCTTATAACTGTGCCTGATGATGACGATAATGGATGCTTGGGAGCTCGTTTAGAGAAACAGTTTACCAAGGAAGTCACCCTTTTGTCGCGAATGTCCCATCCAAATGTTATAAAGGTAATTCTTGTCTCCTCTCGCTATTTTATCTTAGTTAACTGTTATGTCAGTCTAGATGGAATGATTACGGTTTTTATTAACTTATCTTTTCTTATTTGTGTGTAAAACAGTTTGTTGGAGCATATAAAGATCCGCCTGTATATTGTGTCCTCACGCAGTATTTACCTGAAGGATCGTTAAGATCTTTTCTGCACAAGCCTGAGAATAGGACTCTTCCTTTGAAACGGCTGATAGAGTTTGCTTTAGATATTGCAAGAGGAATGGAATATATTCACTCACGACATGTAATTCATCGAGATCTTAAGCCAGAAAATGTATTGATCGATGAAGATTTCCAGTTGAAGATCGCTGACTTTGGCATAGCATGCGAGGAGGAGTACTGTGACATGTTGGCTGATGACCCAGGAACATATAGGTGGATGGCACCTGAAATGATAAAGCGGAAACCACATGGACGCAAGGCTGATGTTTACAGTTTTGGACTTGTTTTATGGGAAATGGTAGCTGGAGCAATCCCGTATGAGGACATGAATCCTATTCAAGCTGCTTTTGCAGTCGTACACAAGGTAAAATATTCTGTGTGTCTCCTGACTATTTTATGATTGTAGTCTTCCATGGAATTTTATACCATCTTTCAGCACAAGCTCTGTCTAATAATTACAGCTAAAGCCTTTAACACACAAAAAAAAAGAGCTTACAGCATAAGTATGGTTTGAGGTCCTTTTTTTGTTCAGTTGGTTCAACCATTTGAGATATTGAAAATGTTAATCTTTTGTTTCAGAACATTAGGCCAGCTATCCCGGCAGATTGTCCAGCAGCCATGAAAGCTCTGATAGAGCAGTGTTGGTCGGTTGCACCGGATAAGAGACCCGAGTTCTGGCAGATAGTGAAAGTGCTTGAACAGTTTGCAATTTCACTGGAACGAGAAGGTAACCTGAATCTGTCTTCAAACAAGATCTGTAAGGACCCAAGGAAAGGTCTGAAACATTGGATCCAGAAGCTTGGACCAGTCCACGGAGGAGGAGGAGGCGGTGGCAGCAGCAGCAGCGGCAGCGGCCTTGGTGGGTCAGCCTTGCCCAAGCCTAAATTCGCTTGAGAGACGTGAAGAGTCTCTTTTTGTAAATTTATATATAATACAAAAGAAGGGTTTTGTGTTTTTGTTGTATCCTTTTTTGTGGGTTGTTGTTGTTAGTGATCTTTCATCGTCAATGTCATCTTCTCTGGATTCGTTGTGTAATGACTAGCCAACTGGGGAATGGTTGTGATTTGATGTTTATGGAATTTAATCTCTCTTCTACTTTGGCTTTCTAGTTTTATTTTTTGTGAAATTTAATGGCTTACTCGGAGAGTATTCCCAAAAAGTTGAGAATGCTATATACTGTCTTTTATCATCATCATTGATGATTAGATCAAAACCTATCTCATTCGTTTATTTATTAGTGGTGTTAATTCTCTCTTCTTTGCAAGTGGAACCATTTTCACAATTATTCGTGTTAGCAAAAAAAAAAGACTTGTTCCGAGTTCTCTGATCCATGAATGTATTCCGAACATCAGGTATGATAATCATCTTTTTAACCAAGAGTATTATAGTACAATAAGAGACATTTTGTGATGAAAACAATCGAAACTATACATTTCTTAAGAGCTAAACAAGAGATACCATTTAGGGACAACAAAAGACAACTAAGTATGGTGTGTATTTGCATTCATCTAAGTAAAGATTTTTTTCTTCTAATGAGAAGCAGCAAACATGTTTTACAAATTAACATCATCAAGGTGAGAGTAATTGAATGCTATTCTCGTTGTCTTCGATCCTCGGCAATGCATATCTGTCTGATTCACGGCCAATGAAGCTGTGTGTCGCTGATGAACACGAAGAATTAGAGGCCGAGGAAGAAACCACCGTCTCCTTCATCTCTCTCCTTATAGCCCATAGCTTTTCCGCAATGACTTTCATAGCCGGACGTGTAGCTCTCGTTGGGGCAAGACATTCGCTCGCCAGACTCAGCATCTTTTCAGCCACTTCAATGGCGGCTCTGTTTCTCTTGAGAAATGGGTCCATTATGAGAACAGCTTCATCTTCATTGAGTCTTCTCAATGCCTGCACAAGATACGAGACGAGTTTCTCCTGATTTAATCGTTGAGATTCTCACGAGCTTTTAGTGTGAAAAGGTAACAAGAAAGTGACTTTACCCATTTAACTGTGAGTCTATCTTTTCGTGGTCTTTGTAACTCAATGGGACGTCTTCCCGTGAGAAGCTCTATGAGTAAAACACCAAAAGAGTAAACATCGCTCTTATCGGTTAGTTGAAACGTCCTGAGGTAATCTGGATCCACATAGCCTGCAGATCCTTTGACCTGAGTTGATATATGAGTAGCCCCAGGATCTTCGGAAACTAAACGAGCAAAGCCAAAGTCTGCTACTTTGGCTCTAAGCTTATCCGTGATGAGGATATTTGATGCTTTAATGTCTCTGTGTATTATTGGTGTATCTGCATTATAAAATCTTGGCACACTTAAGCTATACTGTAACACAGATAAACAACAAAGAAGATGAGATAACAAGGGTACCAGTATATGTGTGCAGATAGGTCAAAGCATGAGCCACATCAATCGCAATCCCAAGACGTTCTGCCATTTCAAGGCGGTTACCCCGTAAACCTTGAGTTTGATGAAGAAGAACAAAGGTTGAGAATTCTGTATTCAGATATTTTTCTATACACATAGAAAAAGAAGGAAGTAACTCTTAGCTTACAACTTACCATCTAGATGTTCTCGTAGGTTTCCATTGCCAACATGTTCAACAACAATAACCCTTTCATCTCCATGTTCAAGAAATCCATACAGCTTTACCAAATTCATATGCTCGATCTTTGACAGTGTGTATATTTCATTCTTGAACTCTCGCAGCCAGCTTTTGCCATAGTTGTTCTGCCACAGAATTTTGAGTTATTGACTATTTTTTCCTCCGAATTATTCTTAAGAAACTTGAGTCTCTCATCCACATATTTTCCAAGAAGTGGATTCAATTACTACCTTTCTTGCACGCTTGATAGCAACAATAGTTCCATCATCAAGCTTTCCCTTAAAAACAGTGCCAAAACCGCCTTCTCCAATTTGGTGAACCGATGCAAAATTTGCAGTTGCCCTTTGAATCTCCCCAAAAGAAAAGTTTACGGGACCGAGGTGCCAACTTTTGCTAGAAGAAGAATCTTTCCCAGGACTCAGAAATCTTGAACCAGAAAAACGATATTGACCAGAAACCTTTCTTCCTGATGACCTTCCAAAAGTGCTTGGTGATGAATAACCAGTCCAGCCTGATACTGCACGTATGCAAGAAATAAAAAGATTGTCACAGCAATACAGAGAGCATAAATGTATAGAAATATATCTCATCCATCAAAGACTCCCAGGTTTGAAACAAAGCTTGTTTGTCTTAGAAGATATCAAAACACGTTCCTGATTCAAGAAAGGATGTTTTAGGAAAGATTCAACCAAACACCAATATGCTTACATGTAGATTCTCTGTCAAGCGTGCTGCTATCGCCAGCATCAGATCTACATTCGTCGGCTGGCTTTAACTTTCGTTGTCCTAAGAAAAGAGCAGCAAAGACTTTCTTGGCTGCCCTTCTGATTGCACCGAGGACAGAGACATTCCTCGCTTTCTCGCTAGTACCTACATCACTCCAATTATACTCAGAATCAGCCTTTCCATTTGAGAAGCGGAGAGGCGTTGGGGTTTTGCTCCTCATTGACATATGTCTATAGACATGGCTATAGGAAGGAGGTGAATATTATTTCTGATGTCCAAATTCCAAGAAAGAAAGTATGTTGCAGTCATGTAAGTTTCTTTTTTCTTTTTTGTTATACGCCAGATATGTATGTGCATATAATATAAGCATAAATGGCCCATCATTATCTGTATAATTGAATATATATATATATATATGTTCTTTAATGTGTTGTAGACCGATTCAAAGAGCTTGATTGGTCTTGCAAGTTTTGCTGTTATTCTATTTTGTAGTCAATGATAATGAGCAACGATCGTATGCTGAGTTTTTGCATACTTTTGACTTTTCCACACAAGAAAACTCCAAAGTAGAAAACGACTCGTTGATATTTTAACTTTTGTAATCTAAAGGATGAGGGAAGATAAGGAGAGAAAACTATCACATGTCTTTTAAATATCTCTCTTGACAAGGCGAATGTATAGTGTTTCTAATATTTATGTACTCAATAACAATGATGGTTGTATTTAAAGATGCAAATTGTGTACATGATCCACCAGCAAGTAAAAAATGTGGTCCATCGAGTTGGCGAGAAGGTCCACATATATAGGCATATAGCTAAGATGAAAGATCAGTCTTTTGTACAAAACCCTTAGCCACAAATCATCTAAACGATGACAAAAAGTGATCCTTGGAACAAGTCCATCAATTCTAAAGAGGAACCAGCTCCAACTCTATCCCTACAAAAAAAAAAAAAAAAAACAAGATCCAATTATAAAAAAGATTACCCAGCTCAGAGTATTATTTGCAAGTATCGCAGACCAAGTCAGGATTCTTGGAGAGAGACTAATATAAGGTGAAAGTTTGTATTTTTGTAACCATAACTCCACTTCAAAAAAAAAAACTGAGAGAAGTTTGGTGCAGTTTGGTTTTCCCATCAAATCTCCCGCCGGCTATTAATGATCCACATAGAAATTGAACGACACAAAGCATTTACCTTTTAAGGCGAACAAGAAACAATGGTGCTCGGAGACGGTAGAAGACCACGGACAATATGGGCTTACTTGTTTCCCTATAGGCCCAAATTATGATCTTGAGCCCAAATAAATTTATTAACTTTTGTCGGGCTTATAATAAGCTATAAGATTCACGAATTCAGTTTGACTTCGAAATTCTAACAATACATTTTGTTGTCTGACTCTTTGTAATTTGTGTGTGTTGGACTGTTGGTTGAATTAAATAAATAAATAAAACTAATATTTGAGAAATTGACGTTTGCTTAAAATTACACTTTTACTTGTAAGTCTGTGGTGGACTAAAGTCGTCGGAAAATTCCAATTCTTTTACAAGAAAGAAAACAAAATCAGTAGTCAGTACAATCACATTCAGACAAGAACAATGTTTTTTTTTTTTTTTTTTTTTTTTGGGGACCTGCTTTGGTTTGGACACAACACACTCTTTGGGAACTCCGAATCTCAATGTACTCGAGTGTGATGCCTCTAATTTTCTTCTTCTTTATTATTTAAATTTCCTAATTATTGAAATTTAATCCAGATACTTTTATTAAGGGGGAATTTCAAAAATACCCCTTTGCCAATACCACTTTTTAAAAATACCCCTCTTTCTAGATTTATCAAAAAGTCAATATAAAATTTGAAACTTATCAAAAATATATGTGTAAACTTATATTTATAGACACAAATTACTTTTATATGTGTGTAAATTTATATATATATTTCATAAATACCGTATAAATACATTTTAAAAACCTTTTAAAAACCATTTAAAAACCTTATAAAAACTGTGTAAACCTTTTAAAAACCTTATAAAAATATTATAAATGCCGCTTAGAACCTTTTAAAACCTTATAAATATTTGGATTTAGTCTTCTAGTAGTAATGATGACCTCGATGTGCTTTATTAACTATATAAAAGTTTATAATTTTTCATATTTGAAAAGGGGTATTTTTGAAAATGAATAGAAAAGAGGGGTATTTTTAAAAAGGGGTACACCAAAAAGGGTATTTCTCAAAAATTCTCTTTTATTTTTTACTTTTTACTATAAAATATGATGCTATAGTTTTTCTTTTAATTTTCGTAATAGAGAAAATATAGTAAGTTGTTGTCTTTGTTTATACGAGAAGTGAAATTATTGTGTTTTGAATGATATACATATACGAGAACTTGAGTTAACAATGATGGAACATTTGAACAAACCCACATATAACTTTAATTTAGATCGTTTGCATCAAAAAAAAAAAGGTGAAGCGTGTAGTTCAAATGTTACATCTTGTTTTGCACTAAACTAACTCTTGGTGCTCCATTACTTGAAAGGATCAATCAACTAATAATCACCAAATAAACAATTACAAAAGTTTTGACATTGAAGCTATTTATCGATTCGATGGGGGAATCCAAAGAAATGACGAAAGCATCCAAATATTTACCTCCAAGGTAAAAAAACAAAAACAGATGAGCAGCACACGTGTTTTCACCATTTTCCAAATCAGTTTTAATGTAATCCTTTTAGGTCTATCCATTCAATAAATAAAAACTTTATAATAAGAGTATTCACAAATTAAGAAATTTATAATGTTCTTCCTACAAAGGCAGCAGAGGGCAGACCAGACCCATAATGGGATGGTGTTTTGTACACTTTTGATTCTCTCTGCCACTCTCCCTCATGTGACACAAATTTTTTTATACCATTTTCTTCTTTTTCTTTTCTCCTCCAAATATATTTACTACAAAAAAATTGTACAAACCATAACATTAATTTCTCTCTGTATTTTTCATTAACTGTGTAATGTAATAAATATAAAAATAGGCATATTAAAAATGAAATAGTAATATAGAATTAAAAAAAAAGAGAGAAAAGGTTTAAGGAAAGGGAAAGGGGTTCTCTTCTCTTCTCTTCTCGCTAATAGTGTTGACAACGCCACTCTCTCTTCCTCTATCTCGAGATCCTAAAAATATGTCACTGACAGATTCTTCAACTTCACTCTCTTCTTCTTCTTCTTCCATTCTTCTCTGAACTCAATCAAACCACCCTGAAGAATAGCTATCATGACCCACCAGCGTCGTCGCCGTCGTCACTCCGCCGTCTGTCACCGTCATCCTTCTTCTAAACCAACCACTGGTTTCTGTGCAACCTGTCTCCGCGAACGTCTCTCTGCCATCGAAGCTCTCTCTTCCTCCGCCCCTGAGCTCCGTCGTGCTAGCTCCTACTCCGTTCGTGACGCATCCGCCTCTGTTTTCGACCAGCCGCGACGCAGATCGTGTGATGTTAGGTCTAATGACGGCTCTCTCCATGACAGATTTGCTGGCGAAGATGACGACGAGCTGCTAGAGAGCTCGATTCGGTTCCCCATTGTCCCAGATTTGAAAGAGGAGGATGAAGAAGAAGAAGACGAAGAAGAAATTAGGAATTTTGATGTCGGTAAGAGGCTGGTTGAAGAAGAAATCGAAGATGGAGACAAGAAGACCATGAAGGAGCTTATAGATCTGGAATCGAGGAATCAAGTAATCAAGAAGAACAACGTCAAAGATTCAGTTTTTAGCAGAACACTTAAGAAGTTTTCACTCAAACATCATCAGAAGAATGGGAAATGTCCAGATTCCGGGAGCAGTCTCGGCCGTCGCTCATGTGATGTAGATCCTAGGTTGTCTCTAGACGCAGGTCGAATCTCGTTCGAGGAGCCTAGAGCTTCATGGGACGGTTGTTTGATAGGCAAGACATATCCAAAGCTGGTTCCTTTGTCCTCTGTAACTGAAGATGTTAAAGCCTCTCCGGGGAAGATAACCGGTGGTAAAGACGACGAGGAGGGGAAGAACAACCCTGGTGGGACAGCTCAAACGAGGGATTACTACTTGGATTCTCGGCGGAGAAGAAGCTTTGATCGATCATCTAGACATGGTTTGCTTGAGGTTGATGAATTGAAAGCTATTTCGAATTCTAAGGTATCTCCTGAAACTGTTGGTTTGTTTCACGGAGCTAAATTGCTTGTTACGGAGAGGGAACTTAGGGATTCAAATTGGTATTCAATCAAGAATTACAAACCGGAGAGCTTGGAATTGGATTCCAAAGGTGTTAGTTGTGTTGCTGCTGCTGGTGAGGCGAAGAAGCAAGATGGTTTTGGGTTGAAGAAGAGTGGGAAGAAATGGTCTAAAGGATGGAACTTTTGGGGATTGATTCACAGGAAATCAGATACATTGAAGAACGAAATGAAAACTGAGCAAAGTTTGAAACTTGGAGGAAATGCTATGGAGGGTTCTTTAGCTGAGTCTCTGTTGAAGCTTAGGAGAGTAGCTAAAGGAGAAACCAATGGTGATGTTAGCGAGAAACTCATAAGAAGTTACAGCGTTAGTGCGAGAAAGTCCTGTGATGGTATGTTACGTGGTGCTTCTATTGTTAACGGCTTTGAAGGTGGGAGAAGCTCTTGTGATGGTCTCTTCCATGGGTCTATTACTGGTACTGAGACTGGAAGAAGAAGCTCGTGTGAAGACGGATTGTTTCATGGCGTTGAAGGGAAACGGAATCATCTTCTCCAGAGAGATGACAAACTTGGTAGTTACTCACCCGAGAACCTCAGAAATGGTATGGTTAGATTCTACTTGACGCCATTAAACAGCCATATGACAAGTAAGTCCAGTAAAAGTAGGCTGATGAATTAGTCTGATGATCCCTGATCTCTGATTGTTCAGTTCATGGTGGACTCTATTGAAACTGTGTTGTAATTAGCAATTACCCTGTGTGTTACTTATTCTCCCATTGTTCTATAGATTTATGAACTAAAATCATATGCCCATGTTGTTCTCTCCTTTTTCCTTATATTTTTCATGTGTATTAACGTTCTTAAGAGTTCAATACAATAGTGATTTTGTTATAAGCTGCAACTTTAGATATTGGCTCTGATCAGTAGCACAGCTACTAAACTTTGAAAAATCAGTAGTTTCAAACTCGAGGTATTGGGGTAACTTTGATGGGAGGATAAAGCATCAAGTTATATATCCAAAGGTTTAAAGCCAAAACATGAATCAAGCCAATAATAAAGGACAAGCGCTACTTCCCCAATATCAAGAACATCAATGGTATCGTAGAACAGAAATCAGTTTTGTACTTTCTGCTACACGTAGACAGAAACAACACTTGTACGAGTGGTTGAATCCTTAGTGATACACAGCCTAAATTACACACGTTTTGATTTTATCACAACCCTTTTACACCTTATTCAAGATTATGCCCTTTCTCTTGAAGTTCAGTAATGACCTCATTCCTCATTCTTAGCCACAGTTTCTGAGCCTCTTTATCAAACTTCTTCTTCTCCATTTCCTTCTGGTAATTATCGGCTTCACCTTCAGACTCAACAATCCCTTTCGGCCCAATCGCTGTACCGATCATTCCCCCCTTTGCAACAAAATCCTCCATGGCCTCTGTATCACCTGGATAAGGAAACTCACGCCTCTCATACAAATGAGCCAATTCTCTCTCCTCCTTTGGTCTCGGCTTCAACGTCCACCAACCTAAAGGAGAGGTTTCATTGTAAATCCATGCAACGCCAAAGACTGTATAGGTGCAAAGCAATGCTTTTCCCACTTGTTTCCAAAAGAACATATCGTCACGCCCTAATCCAACCTTCTTCAGGTACTTGTTAGCATCCATTGACTTCAATGCCTCTATTCCTGTTCACCAAAAATAACCAAACCAACTCAAAATAAGATTTCGTTCAGGCATTTTATCGAACATCTTATGTGACACCACTAACTTAGATCACAGTCACACCAACAAGTAAAAGCTGAAAACTTTGACAAAAACCCACAATCTCCGGAGCTATACACGAATATAGGACAGCAATTTTATGGATTTATCCCTATGAATTGCATCCAAATGTGGGGGAACAAGACAGAAGAAATAGGAGATTCGATCGGGAAATGAGTAAGAGGGTGATAGAGAAAAAGAACTCACCAGTTTTCGCTTGTTGAAACTGTTTCCGCACCATCTTCTCCGGCGACGTAAGAGCTACGATCAAGCTTCTGTACGACGATCAATGAACTAAGCCCAGCGACATTGGAAACTGGCATAAATTGAAAGCCGAAACGAAGAGAATTTTGATCTCTGACTAATACAGAAAAGCTCCATTAGAACGCTGCCGTTTGAATACTAGTGGGCCTATTATCTTTTTGGGCTTTATTATTGACAATAAGGTTCGGACGTTGTGGGCTTGTAAATACTTAATAGTATTGAATCTAATACGATGTCGCTTCTTCAATGTCTAGGACAACAATTTATTATCAAATAACTCAATAAAATGTCGAATAAATAACTATTTTTCTTTTTTGGAGAGAATTCAATAATTGGATCTGATTAGATGAGCTGTTATATAACAAATTAACAACTAAGAAGTAGCTTTTAGCTTTAGCTTTCAAACGAATTATAAAATTCTAGTCAAATATATCATATATGTACTTTTTTTTTTCTTCTAAGCATCTCTTCTACTAGTTTCAAACGCAAACACCAAACCAAATGACTCCAATGAGTTTTTTTTTTTTTTTATTGCGTTTGATATTTACGTTTACAATTAACTAAGAAATTTTACTTAAGATGTTTAAGCTCATGATTTTATTTTACAAAATAAAGAAAACTAAACTTGAACGCGAACGTACAAAAAAAATCGAGGTCATATATATATATATAGGCGTTAATTATTTAAATAAATTTTATTAAATAGACAAAATAGATATATATAACCCTAAATACAGTTTGGTGAGCTTATATCTATAAGAAAGAGCAAATGTGGGTGAGTTTGGTTAGATGGAGGATGAGGTTAATTACTTAACCCTAAATACAGTTGAGCCACCAGACCAGATCACCTAAGCCCTTTAAACTTGTATAATCTAGTTTCGTGATCTTGTACAGTCAATATATATGTTTTGCTATTAGTTTTTTTTAATTATCTCTCTAGCTCGAATCACATTTTAAGTGAGAAACAAGTCTTTTTCTCTTCTTCAATTATTTCTTCTTCCGGTAAGTTCCATTGACTCTTCCTTCAACCTAATAAAGTAAAAACGACATCACATAAATTTTCTTCATACCACAGCTAGCTTTGCTTCATTGTTCTCAAACATGTATATATATATACGATACTCACGACAATAAAAACCAAAACAATTACATCAAGTAAATAGCCTTTGAGAGACTCATGGAGATTCCAAGACGACGTTTTTGCTTCTGCGTCCTAACGCTCTTTGTGATTGTTTTCCTATCGCCGACGACCGTTGAGGCCATGATCCGACATTACAAATTCAATGTGAGTCTCATATATTCTATCCATGTATATGTAACTTTCATATGCATACATGCAAAAAAACAATGTATCGTACGTAAAAATTAGCCCTAGAGTCTACATCCGCCGATAATCTAAATCCCGTCCGTCGGTTGATATGCGCGCATGCATAACGATTCATGCATGAATAAGATCATGCATGCAGTATTTTACTAAGGCGTTGGATTGAAATGTGTGCACTAGGTGGTAATGACGAACACCACGAAGCTGTGCTCGTCGAAGCCTATCGTCACCGTTAATGGAAAGTTTCCAGGTCCAACAATTGTTGCAAGAGAAGGCGACACTATTTTGATCAAAGTAGTGAATCACGTGAATTACAACGTCTCCATCCACTGGTGAGCTACCTCAAACAAACCCATTTTAAGATATTATAGTGGAAGTATAGTCTCTTTCTTTGGTTAACTTTAACAATGTTATAGACCCAACAACTAACTAACAATTATATAACGGTTTAGGCACGGCATAAGGCAATTGAGAACAGGGTGGGCAGATGGACCAGCTTACATAACACAATGTCCTATCCAACCGGGACAGAATTATCTACACAATTTTACATTGACGGGACAACGAGGAACCCTATGGTGGCATGCTCACATCTTGTGGCTTCGTGCCACGGTGCACGGGGCCATTGTCATCTTGCCTAAACTCGGTGTCCCATACCCTTTCCCCAAGCCCTACAAAGAGAAAACCATTGTTCTTGGTGAGCTACTACCCAAAATCCAAAACACAACTTTCTTTACAGAACTCGCTCTACAATCATACTTATTAATCTTCAAAATATATAGGTGAATGGTGGAAATCGGATGTGGAAGAACTTGTAAACGAGGCTTCAAAAATTGGAACAGCTCCTATGGCTTCTGATGCACATACCATCAATGGTCATTCAGGCTCCATCCCTAATTGTCCTTCCCAAAGTAATTATTTAACAATAATCCTAAATTCATAACCACTTTATAGTTTAAGTAATTAGTTCTCTTATCTATATTTTACTTTGTATACTATCAAATTGTGAAACGACGATGACACTAATACAATAGTACTAGTACAAGCGACTAGATTACATGTGTTGGTTTATAATGTTCTTTTCACTTGTAGGTAGCTACGGTTTACCAGTGCGAGCGGGGAAGACATACATGTTAAGGATCATTAACGCGGCTTTAAATGAAGAGCTCTTCTTTAAAATTGCTGGTCACGTACTAACCGTTGTTGAAGTTGATGCCGTTTACACCAAACCATATAAAACTGACACTGTATACATCGCCCCGGGACAGACTACTAATGTTCTCTTAACAGCAAACGCAAACGCTGGTTCCAATTACATGGTCGCTGCCACAACATTTACGGACGCTCACATCCCATACGACAACGTCACAGCAACCGCCACTCTCCACTACATCGGCCACACCTCCACTGTTTCCGCCTCCAAAAAAACCGTTCTCGCATCACTTCCTCCCCAAAACGCAACATGGGTTGCGACCAAATTCACTAGATCGCTCAGGAGCTTGAACTCACACGAGTATCCGGCTAGGGTTCCAACCACGGTGGACCATTCCTTGTTCTTCACGGTAGGTCTTGGCGCAAACCCATGCCCCAGCTGCAGCAACGGTGTTCGCTTAGTGGCCGGAATAAACAACGTAACGTTTACAATGCCTAAGACCGCTCTACTTCAGGCCCATTTCTTTAACATTTCCGGTGTATTTACCGACGATTTCCCGGCTAAACCAGCGAATCCGTATGACTATACTGCACCGGTAAAACTAGGCGTTAACGCCGCCACGATGAAAGGTACAAAGCTTTACAGGCTACCGTACAACGCGACGGTGCAAGTAGTACTGCAGAATACAGCCATGATCGTGCCAGATAACCATCCATTTCATCTTCACGGGTTTAACTTCTTCGAAGTTGGTAGAGGTTTGGGGAACTTTAACCCGGAAAAAGATCCGAAAATGTTCAATTTGGTGGATCCGGTAGAAAGAAACACCGTTGGAGTTCCAGCCGGTGGTTGGACTGCCATTAGATTTATCGCCGACAATCCAGGTAACTAAATACATAATTCTAAAATATAATGCCTAGCTAGAAAGCATTTACAAGTGTGGCTATTTTTAAAAATTAGGGATTAATTGGTTCTTCTTTCCGTTATTACATTAAAAAAAAAAAAAAGTTGTCATACTTTCGTTAATTTTTGTCAACATTTTTTGGCCTTTTCAATTCTTTTTTTTAGTATTTATATTCATGTGGCGAATTATTTAATATTCGGTCCAACTTGCTAACGTATTGTTTTTTTTTTTTTTGGTGGTAAATTGGTATGTTTGTTTTATTGGTTACAAATGAAGGCGTATGGTTCATGCATTGTCACTTGGAATTACATACAACTTGGGGATTAAAGATGGCATTCGTCGTCGACAATGGTCACGGTCCTGATCAGTCATTGCTTCCTCCACCCGCCGATCTTCCCAAATGTTAGGATTCGTTATATTAATTTGTTCAATTTTTTTTTTGGGATTTATATTTGGAGTTACTTTGCGGAAATAAAGACTGGAATTGGTGGATGACTTCTAATTATTTATTTTGCATGTAATAAAGATAAAAAGGTGAAAAATTATAGTGACATTATTCTACACACCATTTATAGAACGAAAACCATATAAGGTGCTTTCATGAAATCGTATGTATCGGATAATTAATTTGCCAAATGTCACGGACCTCCTTGGTAAAATCAAGAGGTTCGGTCGGTGCTCCTTAATAAAGTGTATATAGAACGAAACCCACATATATAAGATGCTAGGGTATTATTTGATTTTATTCTTTCTTTGGTTAATTAAATGATTAATTTCTGTTAATTAAGGAATCACAACTTATTTCCATGGAAATTTTAGCATAATATATAGTTTTCTTCATGAGAAAAATAATCAAACAAATTAAAATTTGTCAGGGAATTGATTCCAAAGGATTTTGGCTGTTTCATCAATTACGCAAGACGTTTGTCCCTTGGTGCACTAAAACCTCATGAGTTTGATTTTAAATTCTGTTTAAACAGATTTCTGACTTATTCCCCCTGCCTTGACATAAATTAATATAAATGTTAAAGCATCTTATATGAATTTTAAGAGTATTAAAATTATCGAATACTTCTATTAATGGGCAAAAAAAGTGTTTGGAGAATATTAGTTGTACCAAATATGGCAAAAGCTACTATTCAATTATTGACATGCATGCCTCTCCAACATGTAGAGACCTTCCCCCGGCATATACCTCCTGGAAAGTCCAAAGGGGCACTATAAGAACCCCAAAATCAAAATACAACTTAATTGTTTGATAAGGTAATTAAGGATGTGAACATCCCTTTTTAATAGTATGAAACTTGATTAAATCATTAAATATATCAAAATAAACATATTTATAATAAACATATTTATAGCTACAAATTGTGACAATTTTTGCAACCACGGCTCATACATAAAAATTAATTTAATAGTTTTTTGGGGTCAAAGAATCATTTTTGTAGTTTTTCATATGTGAAACATGTGAGAAAAGATTTGACGATTTATTTTTCAGTCATATGATCACTTTTAACTTCTTGGTATATGAATTGATAACGATGATTTAAAAGTGCCAGGTCAATCATTTCTTTTTCAATGGACTGATTCCAACTTAAATTATGTACTTTCTTATAATTTTATATAGTAGAGTCAAATGGGTTTTTTTTTTAAGTAACGTATTGGAAATTTTGTAATTGAATTATATATATATATATATATATATATATATATATATATATATATATATATATATATATATAGCCGTAACCATCACTGGAGATGTACAGTGTGACATATAAATGATTGGGGTGGGGGGACAAAAAAGTTTTTCTCTAATAGTATATGATGAAGGTTAATTTTAAACATTTTGAACTGGATTAATAATTAAGGTGATATAATCTATAATCCAAGTACGGTATGGTACCATTACCGGGCACATAACACAAGCATTGACTAAAATGTAATATATTAGGGTTCCCTAAACACTGTGATTAGGACATAACGTAGTATATAATACTACACCATATATAAATCTATGTGATCCGTGAAAAAAGGAATGTTATGTTGTAATCAACTATAGCTAGGACTGGGTAATGGATTTCTTTGACACGTTCCAAGATTCTTCATAAAATATAGGTGATTTGAAAAAACCAAATCATTATGACAACTCATTCGATGGTCAACTATATTTGTTTTAGTAAAATTTTGATTTATATAACTTAGGGAAATTGGAAAACACATTTTGGATTCAGTCGTAAAAAAAGTTTGCATGCAATCTTGTAGAACGATGAATTTGTAAAGATTTATCGTAGGCTCAAACAAAAACCAAATGGGAGACATCGAAGATCTCACGTGTCGACTGCTGGTTAAAATCGCAATTAAATATGAATCTAACGTACAGGAATGAGACACGTGAACGAATCATAATGGAGAAGACAGATTCCTCGAGATCTTAAAAGAGAAGAGAGAGACCGACCAATGATAATGCAAAACGCGCATCTCACGTGGACCCTTTTGTACAACTTGGCCATGTAAGTAACCGCTGATCTCGACCGTTCATTTGGCGGCTCCTTTTTCCCCCAATCTGACACTTCTTCATATATTCCTAATTTGCCCTACTATAATACTACTTGTATATTAACTGTACGTAATCAGTGTGATACATACATTAAAATATAGTATAATCAGTAACGTATATGTTTTTTTTTCTCTTTTTAATATAATTATACATAGAAAATATACTCTTTTTTTTTTGGTAGAGATACATAGAAATATTTTAATAAGAATGTTGAAATTTGTTTTTTTTTCTTTTCTTTTCTGAGAGGCATCGTACTCTCCCAGAAAATGTCAACTTCGTCTATTTTTTTATTTTAAACTTATAACTTATAAAATAATTTGTTGACAAAATAAAATAAAATTTGTTTTATCTCAATTACAAAATTATTTTTTGTATTTTTACAATATTTCAGAGTGTTCGTTCGCCATCATTATTATTTTGTAATCATAGCGGTCACGGAATTTTTATTCAATTCTTTTTTTATTTCCTTTTCTGATAGATACAAATTTTTATATTTTTTCCATGCTTACTCGTGTGATCAAACCAAACCAAATCAATTAACACGGCGGTATTTTTACTCTTCATATTTATAATAAGCCTACACAAACACTTTACATTTTAATCAAAATATGAAATTTTGTTTAACATAGTTAATGAATGATGATTGTGAGTGATGAAAAAAAAGTTTGTATGATAAAAATAAAAGATCAAGAAAGAAAGTGAATATCATCATTAAACAGGTTATACAAACTTCAAACAGCATAGAAGAAGTTGCAAAAATTGGAGTTGCGATTATTTTTTGTTCAGCGGTTCGTAACAACTCCATTTTTAGAAATTTATACGTATGTGTTTTCAAATTTATACGTATGTGTTTTCAATCGACACATCTATTTGAAGTGTCCGTATAATACGACTGTATATATATATATATATATATAGATTAAACATTTCATTGAGTTTACCAAAAACAACGTAAGTAGAAACGATTACTACTGTTAACTGAGTATGAAAGTTTTAACTAATAAATATAATGTAAATAAGGTGAAACAAATAAATATATAAAGGAGTAAGAAATGAAAAATCTTTTTAATAATTTCGTGTAATAAGAGAAGAAAAGAAACAAAAGTAGCACCCATACCAAAATCTAATTTCTAAAGAACAGCAGAACTATAAAAAGAGCCCCAAATCATTGCCTCTTTTCTCTGCCTAGTTGTCTCTTCTTCTTCTTCTTCTTTTTTTTTTTTTTAGCTCGAGAAAAGTTTGAGAACATACTAAGGTGTCTGGTTTTTAGTTTTCTTTCCATTTATGGGTTCATTTGCTTCGTCTTGCACGTTATAGTTTTCCTAATTGGGTAAGCTCCAAGGTAGCTTCGTCCTTATTAATTCTATTTTTTCTTTATTCATTTTCTGTAGCCATATGTTGTTTATTTTCCCGAGAAATTTTATCCACACCCACACAGCCAGATCTTTTTTTTAACTCCGAGTCTCTCTCTCTGATACTTAAATACCACCTCTCTACAAGCTCCACCAAATCTGGAATACCAATAGATTCGTTTTATTTCCTTCTGCACAATCTCAGAGCTACCCAAAATAATTCTCTCCTTTTCTTTCTTTGACTCACTTACACAGATCTCGTCTCGACTAGATTTTACTCATTTCTTTTTCTTTTTCTTTTTTTTTCTCTAAAAAAGTTTTAAACTTTTAAAGATTCCGCTTGAAGTGGGTGTCTAATAAAAGTCTCGAGCAATGCTTCCAACAAATTCTTATGGTTTCTTCTCTAAACAATTTAAAAATGAAGTATCATTCGACAGTGATTTTTGTGTTCTTTCTCTGATCCTCTTATCTCTTCCTTCCCAACAACTATAAACCCAAAACACACAAATTTTATTTTATTCTTGGGATCTTCTTGATCCCAAACCCCTTAAATCCGTTGACCTTTGTCGGTATGATTTGTTCTTACACATCGTAAAAAAAAAAAAAAAAAAAAAAACAGAGAGAAAGGTTTTACTTTTCGGACATGGAGGTTCTGAGACCGACGGCGACGTCACACGTGTCAGGTGGCAACTGGCTCATGGAAGAGACGAAGAGCAACGCAGGTGTCACGGCTTCTGGAGAAGGTTGCACGTGGACGGCGGCGGAGAACAAGGCATTCGAGAATGCTTTGGCTGTTTACGACGACAACACTCCTGATCGGTGGCAGAAGGTGGCGGCGGTGATTCCGGGGAAGACTGTGAGTGACGTCATCAGGCAGTACAACGATCTGGAAGCTGATGTCAGCAGCATCGAGGCCGGTTTAATCCCGGTCCCCGGTTATATCACCTCTCCTTTCACTCTGGATTGGGCCGGTGGTGGTGGCGGCGGATTCAAACCGGGTCACTCTGTTTGTAATAAACGGTCGTCGGCCGGTAGATCGCCGGAGCTGGAGCGGAAGAAAGGCGTTCCTTGGACGGAGGAAGAGCACAAGTAAGTCTCCTCTGTTCTTTTCTCCGGTTTATTGTGAATTGAATTTAAACCGGCTCAGTGGTGAAATTGGCCTAATTTTTGGAATGTGATCCAATATTTTACATTACTATATAGGTATTAAAAATGACAATTTGATAGTATAGTATTCTGTAACTTTATGGAAATATCTTTGATTAGAGATATTTGTCACGATCCATCTATTTCTAATTGGCTTGAAGGAATGCATGCAAAATCCTAGTGTGAATCACGATTATGCAACACAGTCTGGCTGCAAAATATATTATTTGATTAATTGATATTTGTCACAATTCAGGCTATTCTTAATGGGTTTGAAGAAATACGGGAAAGGAGATTGGAGAAACATATCTAGGAACTTTGTGATAACGCGAACGCCAACGCAAGTCGCTAGCCACGCCCAAAAGTACTTTATCCGGCAGCTTTCCGGGGGCAAGGACAAAAGACGAGCAAGCATTCACGACATCACCACCGTGAACCTAGAAGACGAAGCTTCTCTGGAGAGCAACAAGAGCTCCATTGTTGTAGGAGAGCAGCGTTCTAGGCTTACCCCGTTTCCGTGGAGCCAAACGGACAACAATGGAACGCATGCGGATGCTTTCAACATTACGATTGGAAACGCTATCAGCAGCGTTCACCCGTACGGCCAGGTTATGCTTGGAGGGTATAACAATGCAGATTCTTGCTATGATGCGCAGAACACAATGTTTCAGCTATAGCTAATGGGAGATATAAATCTCTAATTAAAGGGTGTAAGTGAGATTCTTAAATTTTTCATATGGACGAAATTAAACAATCGTAATTGACAATTGTAAAATAAACGTCCATTTTTAAAAATTCCAATATTGAAATAGTTTATGAAAAGTTTCGTGATCACAGAGTTGTCTATTTGTTATTTTTTTCTTTTTCTTTTTTCTTTCTTTCTTTCTTCTCAGGGACATCGTGCTAATATGCTACTAATGGTTTACAACATACGTTTCAAAATGGTTTGCAAGTTGTAAATAACAAGTGGTGTGAGAGTGATGACAAAATGAACAATCGGTGAAACTAAAATGTTGAATGCCAATTTGAAACAATATAGTCCAAGTTTAGCCAAATTAAACCGTCATGTGATGCTCGGATTTATCAGCTTCTAGTATATGCGTAACATAACTCCAACTACACATCAACTTCACTTCTGGACCACCGATACGAAATGGGCTTTCGCAGCTTCACATCCCATACACAACCACTGACACAAGTTCACCGGTGTAAATTTTATGAACCGGCTTAACGAGTAAACCAAGAGTCAACTTAATTCATATCATTATATATAGTATACTATCACACATATTTATTATAATAATATTTAATTTATGTTATACAAGTTGCAGCGAAAAGGTTCAAAAAGACACAACACTTGGCCATCTCTAAAACTAATATCCAAATTTTTGTCGTTTTAGTGTTTACAAAAACGTATAAATCATAATTAATAATACGGCTTATTCATTGTTCGTCGCAATCAACCAATACAAACTATGCTTTCACAACTAACCACTTGAAGTTGTAACAACGGACAATGTATGAGAACAATGAAATTAATTTGTAGACTTGTTTTTCTCCAAGACATTATGCTATAGTCTATATACATATAGTACTGGTCATACACACACATATATATAACAATTGAACTATCACCAAGGAGCCAAAAGAAATTATATTATAGAATAACTTTGAAAAAGGAAAACTATTAATCCATTGATATCTTATATAATATAACAAGGTTTTTTCTAACTTTTCACTACGTTACGACATTTGGCGCTATCTGTTGATGACATGTGTCATCTTTTATTTTTAATTAATTTTTTCATTTTTATTTTTAACTAAAACATTTATGTCAATCTTAATTCCAAATAACCATATAATTAGGTAAAAATTAAAATAAAATTATTGTGAAAAAATAATTATGAGTAAAATTATTAATTGGTATTAAATTTTTTTTTTTTTTTGACAACGGAATTAAGTTCTCTAAAGCAAAAGATATAACTAAAGTTTTAAAACAAAATCACATATTGCATATGATATATCACATATATATGTATATATGATTTACTATCACATAATTAAAAAATCTATTTTACATAATTTTCTTACATTTTATTTAAATTTTCATCCATCGTATTTATTTTAGTATAAAATACTCTATTCTTTTTTTCACTTTAATGATGGAAGAAACTTAAATAAAATGTATGCAAATTGAGTAAAATAGATGTTTTAATTATTTGATAGTAAATCAACAATTGTGGGAGTTAATTCTTATTAATTTGTGTTGAATAAAATTGAGTAGAGAAATATAGTTAATGCAAATTTTTATAATTTCAGTTCTTATATTAAAGTGTGAGTTAAATGTAGAGATCTAATTAATTGTGTTTTAATTGAATATATATTTTTCAGTTTTAAAATTAAAGTGAGAGATAGATATATATGATCAGTTGTGTTTTATTTGTGGTTTGTTTCACTTTCTTCTTAGTGGTCTATTTTTCTATAAAATGTTTTTTTTTTTTAAATTATGTTTTCAACTAAACCAAAAATAAAACACATTTAGTTATATATATATTAAAATGACACTTTAATATAAACCTAAATAAAAAATTATTTTAATCAAGCCATAAATAAAAAAATTTGATCATCTATATTTATATTCAATTAAAACACAATTAATTATATACATTTAACTCACACTTTAATATAAAAACTGAATTAATATAAATTTGCATTCACTATATTTTTGTACTCAATTTTAGTCAACGCTCAATAAATTAGAATTAAATCCTACAATTTGTTCTTCTAAATTGTAACTCTCATAACTTCTCATCTTATAAATACTCATTTTCTCATTCTCTCATTCCCTCCTCCTCTTCCACTTTATCTCAAATCTTCTATAATTGAGTTTGTTTTGTTTTCTGTTTTTTTTTGTTGGTTGTTTGTTGTTGTATGAGTTGAAAAACACAATTCATTTTCATTGTAAAAGTTTAATCTAAATTTTAATTTTAGACACTATATGATATATATTTACATTGTTTTATATGACACTATTTCATCTACATTGTCTATTTTAGATTACCATCTTATAATTAATCTCTCTCTCTTTCTCATTCTCTTTCACTACATTCATGTATCTTAAATATTTTTCTATTTTTGTGTTGTTATATGGATTGAAAATCAATAAAAGTATCTTTCTAAGAATTTGATCTTAATTTATTTTAGAAAGTATGATATATATCAAACATAGTTTCAATTTTATTTCTAATGCCTTATTATACATACGTTTTTCAATTTTTATTTCTAATGCATTATTATACATACGTTTTCATACTTATGAGTATGAATGAAGAAAGTATGATATAACACATATGTAAAATAAAAGTTTTGATTGTTATATAAATAAAAGTTTCAATTTAAACCTTGAGAATTTTTGAGAAATACCCCTTTTGGTCTCAAATAATATTTTGTAATTCATTTCAATATATGTATAATTATATTTAGTTTGTGATCTTAAATATAAAAAATTATAAAGTTTTATATAGTTTATAAGGTACTTCTATATAATAACTACTACTGGGTACTTGGTTTTAAAAAATTGGTCTTTATTTTTTAAATAGTTTTAAATCGTTTTTAAAAGTTAAATTTTGTTTAATTCATTCATTAGTTGAACAAGGTTTTTTCTAACTTTTCACCACATTACGACATTTTGGGCTCTTTGTTGATGACACGTGTTGTCCTTTATTTTTAATTAATTATTTTCATTTTTATTTCTAACTAAACATTTATGTCAATCTTATTTCCAAATAATCATATAATTAGGTAACAATTAAAATAAAATTATTATGAGTAAAATTATTAATTGGGATCCAAAATTCATTTGTGTAAAGCAAAAGATATAACTAAAGTTATTTTCCTATAAATATAACTTGACATCTACTTCTGAATCCAATTTTTAATACCTAAAGTTCTTTTGCCAAAAAAAAGAGATTATTTTATAATAAAATTTCATATTGAATATGATATAAAACCACATATATATATATATATATGATTTACTATCACATAATTAAAACATCTATTTTACGTAACTTTTTACATTTTATTTAAATCCTATTACATTTTTATTACATTTTATGAATTAATGAACTTCACTAAAATACTATTGAATTATAATATTTAATAAGGTATGAGTTATACCCTAATATCATATCCAATCTACACTCTACACTAATATCATATTTAATCATTTGTTCTAAATAATAGTCTTTCTTTTCATAACAATATAAATATCTAACCCAAGTTAGATTTTCGTAAAGAGACCGAACATAAATTCGATACTTAAGAGCATTTCATGATTGTTGTCATGTACATATAATAGACAGATATATTTGTTCATCTTCTTTGTTAATGTTGATGTAAACATGTGATGCCTTTTTAACATAAATTTATTTCTTTAGCTTTTATAGTTATGTCAATCTTTATGTTTGTTCTTAAATGGTTTCAATATTAATTTTATTCTTGAACAAATTCTACATAAAAATAATTCTTAATATATAAAAAAGATCTCATATACGTATATGTGAGCTTCTTTTCTAATCAATTAGAATGAAAATATCAAAGTTCTTCTTTTTCAAATAATATTCATCTGTTGATTTGGCTTTTGCTTTATCTTTTTAGTGTTTACATAGTTATAGATCAAAAACTCTTATATCTCAGGTGAAATATTTTCTAAATTGAAAAAGTTTTTCTAAGTAAGGTCTAAAAAAATCATATATATATATATAGGTGAAATATGAATTTTGTTTACTTTTAATATTAACAATGTACACACAAAAAATTAACATCAATTTACAATTGCCTACTATATTATGTATGTGCTAATTTGTATAACTTTGTTTTGATCTCATTTGGTTTCATATTTTTCAAATATATATTTTATTTACTTTTATTGTTTATAATGTACACAAATATGTTTTATATTAAAAGTTACTTATAAACTACATATCTTAATGTAGTTCTCAATTTCTAATTCAAATTAATATTTCATATATATCCCACGCATCGCGTGGGCAACTTTCTAGTAACTTATAATGTAGTTGTTTCTGTTAGTCAAGCTTGGTAGATGCAATACAAAGTTCAAAAATTTGTAAAGAGACATAGTAATATATAATCGTCTTTAAGGAAAAGTATACTACCTAGCTATATTACCTAACTGAAACCGAAACTTTTATAGAATGTAACATGATGGTGTTATGCCAAAAACAAACTTGACAAAACCAAGTCATCATATACAACAAAACCAACAGAAACAAAATAACTAATTAAAAAAACCCTAAAAACTAATTTAAGCTCTGTCATTCAAATCGTTTTCTTCCCTGAAAGATCCCAAGGAATATTAAACGGGACTTGATATCCCGCGAAAGGGTTAACATTATAAGCCGCAGGCCTTTGTACAACCGGTTCACGATTATAATAAGGTTGTGCTTGCCTCTGCATCAACTGAGTAACATCGTTTCCCTTTGACATCATCAAGCCTTGATTTAACCCCAAGCTGGTTAAGTTCTCCATGAGAATCGGGTCCATTTGAATCTGATCATCATGAGGTGGGATGAACGAGAAACCCATATTGTTGTAATTATTAGGGAACCCTTGGAACTGTGGCTGCTCAGGTAAGTACTGTTGCATGTAATGTTGTTCCATTAAACTCTGCTGGATTGGTGTGTCCATGGCTTGATGATGAGCCATAAACATACTACGTTCCTGTCTCATCGCAGCTTCGTGTAACTTGTTATCCACGGCACAGAATATCCCACATAGCTGCTCTCTTGAACACTTGTCTAGCTTCTGTTCCCAGCTACAATACTTATTCTCACTACTCCTAGGCACCCTCTTATTAGTAGTCCCCATATCCTTGGCTTTCCCTAAATCGTTAACGAAAGTTTCCACGTGGGTTTCTTTCTTGCAGGTGTTGGACACACTGTCTTTGTACTTGCGTATGATGTCTCTGACTTCTGTCTCGTCCCTCGGCCATATCTCTGGCTCGGAAACCACCTCATCGGTCGCCTTAGTGGGGCCGTAGACGATGAGACATGTTTTGACGCCGCATAGAGTTGAGAACTCCGCTGCCTTCTTGTAAAGATTAGCTTTCCTCTTCTTGTAAGTTGTAATCCTCGTCTTATCGTTCGCTATCCTCTGTAGGTTCACTATCTTCTGAGTCATCCTTTGTTACCTATGTTATTACACAAAACATACACACTTTTCTTCAATAAACAATATACAAGTATATAGAATAATTATTGAGCTTTTGTGAAAAAACGTTTTAGGTTTTTAGTGTTTTTCTCTAAGCGAAAATATAATCGTTCTTTTGACCCGACTCAATCACAAATCATACTATATATATAGCTAAATAAATTTGGAATCCAATCACAAATAAAAATAGATAAAAGACAAGAGTAGGAACGAAAACGAAATCAGTTTAGAAGAAAGAAACCGTAAGAAAATCCGACAAAACAGAACGAAGAGATCACAATGAAACGTGAAAAACCTTTAGAACCAAACTAAAGCAGACTTGTTAACAAAAAGAGTAAAGTGTTTATGCAAAAAGAGAGTATACTTACTTGGATATCAAAGCAAAGTTTCAATGAGGTTTTTTCTTTTTTTATGCGCAAACCATTTGTTGGGGATTCTGTCGGAAATATGGGTGAAATAGAGCTAATATATATGCGAGATTATAGATATTGACTTTTGATTTAGTTTGCGTTTAAGGAAGGAAGTCAAAGATCACGAGATATATCCTTTAAATGAACATGAGCGTTTAGGAAAGAATAATCAAAATTGGAATATTTAGTTTGCCAAAATGGAAAATATACTAATTTGACTATGCTACGCAAGAAAGAGAAAATGTTAACACACGGCAAAGAGGATGATATAAAACACAAAAAAAAAAAAAAAAGTATATTAGGTTATAATATGTAAATAAAAATATTAAACCGTCTGACTAAAAAGGAAAATAATTAAATGTATCTTACTCACTTCATCCTACTTCGAAGTCGACAGCTCTTAGAACCATTGTAGACTGTACGATGAAGGACCATTCTGCTAATATTGTGAACCCAAATCTTGTGATGTGTTTTGCTAATATAATCTTAACATTAAAACCAAAAACACGAAGCTAGTAATTCTTCTCTTAGATAATTCATAGTTCTTTGCTTTACAAAGTTTCAATTAGTTAAACAAAAAAAATACATTTAAATTAAATAAATGATACAACAATTTGTTTCACATGTTATAAATCAATCCTATGATTATAAAAAGAATCTGTTACACTTTTTCATTGACAATAGTGTATCTACAGTTAAAACTTTTCCTTGTGGGTTTATACCTTACGTGCAGCCTTACTCATTATCTTCACCATGCATGATCATGTGTTTATCATCAATGTGTCACTCTTCTGCAAAAAAAAAAAGAAAATTAGTAAGCATTTGGTTATTCACAAGGAAAATGCAAAATAGTCATCTCCGTTTTTGAGTTAGGACTGACCTAAGTCTCTGTTTTCGTCTTTTGTTGTTTCGGTCTCTGCATTTTGCATGTCCCCAATCATTTTTTTGGATTCTTCATTGTCTTCTCTAGGGACTATACCAATATTATTGTACAATGATTCTAAATTATGCTCTATCTTCTTTTCCATAGCTTCAACTTGCTCATAGAGTTTTTGGTTATCTTCATCATTATTCTCACTAGCAGCTAAGTCATTGGCTACTGGAGCTAATTCATTGGCTACTGGAGCTAATTCATTGGCTACTGCAGCAAATTCATCTTTATCGATATCTTGAGAGACGGTGGTCGAGCCAATAACATCTTCTTGCTCTAGTTGTTGGCTGATCTCCAATGTTCTTGGCGATATCCCTTGGGAAGAATCTGAACCACACTATTCAATGGATACAAAAATATTATTACTAAACTTCAAATCCAGAACCAAAAACAGAAAAGAAGCTAATACAAATTATTGTCTTAATAAATGACTTAGATAAAATTATGTATTGTCTATAGTAAATGACTTTAGATAAAATTATGTAGCGTTACATAACTAATTTGGTGGATTAAGATTAGTATATACTTTGAACCAAAAAATATACTATGTCAAAAAGTTTTAGGATAGTAAGTAAAACCTGTTGAGCCCATAGTTGTGGATCTTGTGACTTTTGTGTGTCGTCTGAAACTACCGATTCCATTAGTAACTCTGATTTTTCTCCTTCTTTTGAGTTCTCCTTATCAGTTGACTCCTCTAGTGGTGACTTATTATTATCTTGGACTTGCAAAAGTATCACATCACTTTTATCTTCAGCGTTTTCATCGTCTTTAACCAACTCTGCATGAGGATGGCTCAAAGATTCTTCCATGACATTGTGAGTTTTTTCTTCCTCTGTTGGTATTGCTTTCTCATCAATACCTTTGACTAGTTCCTGGCCATTTTCTCCCATTACCTCATTATCTTGTAATTCTGAAAGAACATGGCGTGGAGAACTCTTCATATCACTTTGATGTTCTTCATTTTCTTTTTGTTTTGTTATTTCCTCAGTAAAGTTGACTAATCGTGATTCTTCTTCTTCTTCTACCTCTCTTTCAAATGATTCTATACAAGGAGTGTCCAACGAAGCATCCAAAAGGTTCTTAGTTGACTCATGTTCTCCTTGAATGATATCCATTATTTGGTCTTTCTGCTGATGATCAATGATATCTAACTCAATAGCCTTGGGAGATCCACAAAGATCATCATTTACTACTTGTTTCATATCAACCACTTCTTCATCAATCAAAGTCTTCATGGATGAATCCATAGTAGTCAGAGGTCTTAGGTCAGTTAGTTCTTTAGTAAAATTATTCATATTCTCCGAGTTACCCCCGTCGATGGAGTCCAAAATTGTTTCAGGTTCTTCTGTTATGGACGACAGTGATGCACTTGTATGAAACAACATGCCTTCAAAGTTTCCAAAGCTTGTAGGCTTGGACACATCACTGGAACTAGAAGGTTTGTGCTCAAGAATATCTTTGGTTTGGTTGCTATCATCTAACAGTGACATATCATCAACTGTTATAAGGTTTTCATCTACCATCGAATTATGATCCGGATTGGCCTCAGGTTTAGCCCCTTCATACTCATTGTTCCCCTCTTTTGATCCAATTCCACTTCTTGATTCGTATTGGTGAGAGGTCCTCTTGCGTGATTCCTCATTGCGGACGATTTCTCTGTCAATATCTGTATCATACATATAAGATTCTCCACCATTAGACCAGTCATCAAGCCAATCAACTGTTGTAGGAGGTGAACCAATCTCTGAAACTTCAACTTGCATATCCGAGGCAACTGAAAATGTTCGACTGTGCGAATTTCCGCATTTGCGAGGGTAAAACATGTTATGATCATCTAGTCTTGGCGCTACTAAACCTTTAGGCAATGTGCTTGGAATGTTGTTTCTTGTTTGATTCACAAGATAGCCAGGGTAGTTATCCATGGATTGGCATATAGCTTCCCTGAGCTCTGCTTTGTTCAAACGGCTGAGTTCTGGCTCACTTTCTTCTGAACAACTTGAATCATGATCATCTTCTTCTTCTTTGTTTGAATCAGTCTCGTCATTCATTTCTACTTCTTCTTTGTTTGAATCAGTCTCATCCTTCATTCCTACTTCTTCTTTGTTTGAATATGTCTCATCATTTATTTCTACTTCTCCTTCTCTGCTTTTTACACTCTCAACGCTTTTATCATATTTCTCTATTGTATCAACTTCTTTACCATTACATGGTAGCATATGTTCAGTATGATCCATATATTCATTGTCCAAATCTGTAGTAACAAAAAAAAAAAACGAAATCATTGTTAATTCACATAGAATATACAAACAAGTGTTGTTAATTAATAGTGAGAATAATATTTGAAATATATAACCTAAACGTTTCCTAGTAGTTAAAATATCTGAAGCAGAAACTGGACTGTTCATACACTGAGCATGTTCCGGAGAAAAAAGAGCAAAGCGACAGAAGCTCTCATGACGACAAAAGAACATATCTTTATGGTTATTGAACAATGAAAACTCTTGATCAAAGCTATCTCCAGTAAGGTTAGGTCTTTCCTCTTGAGGATCATAAGGAATATCAAAAGGGTTTCTCCCTTGTAACATCACAGAAGGTGCAGAGCCTGGAACCTGTAATCCTGTACCAGTAGTAGCATCTGATGAATTGTTCCGACGTTTTTCAAGTGAGTTCCTTGAAACCGTAATATGAAGGTGGTGGTTGTTGTTCTGTCTAGGGCTAGTTGTTTCTTCAGCTTGAAGCTTACTCCTTTGATCTAAAGCTAGTCTAAAGAGCCGCCTCGCTCTTCTTCTAGCGATTAGCGACTCTAGTCTCTTATTTCTCTCAATCTCTGAAATCCCATGTTCGTTAACATTACTCATCTCTTCTTTACCATCTGATGATTCTTCATATTTTATCTCACAGTTGCAAACCATTGACTCTTCAACGTTAAGATGACTCAAATCACGAGAATCTTCTTCATGATCTCCAAGAACCACCTTCTCCTCCTCGTTGTCTTCGTTTACTAAACTGGCTTTGGGAGACTCTTCAAAATGAGGGGTACGACCAAGGAGATCATTGTAAAGAGAAGTCAAGATAACTTTGTCTTTCTCTTCCTCGCTTGTTTGTGAATCCCATTCTTCAACTTTCATTCTAGCATTCCGCCTAACACTTCGCTGTTGTTTCAAATGACATCTCTTGTCTCCTTTTCTACAACTCTTTGGCTCCGAAGATGAATACAAGCTCGAAAATCTCAATCCTAGCCTTTCTCGGGCGTACACTAGAGCACATGCAAGGACCGGCGACGAGTAGATCAAGAAGAACAATAGAGAAGGGAGGAAAATGTAAAGCACGAGTAAAAACATTGAAACCCCGGACAAAACTGGATGGTTCTTCATAAAATTTATGCTTATGCTCATCGAAGATCCAAGAATTTTCCATAATATTGCGATGGTTTCTTTCCCGTCAATGCCCATTTTCCATATAATCAAGAAGATCAAAGTGATATCAAAAAAAAATTTAAAAAAAAAATCAGAGATTTAGCAAACAAAGAATTTGGCATCCAACAGGAAAATAAAAAATCATAAATGGAGTTTTCAAATTTAGATAGTATCGTCTGGAGATCCTCTGTTTCAGGATGTTAAATTTTTCTAATTTTTGTTGTTTTAAGTTTATTCGATACAAGTAATTAAAACGACAAAACAGAAAACGAGCTACCTAATTTTCTGTTAATTACAAAGTTTAGGGAAAATATGGCAAAAAATTATGATATGGTCCTCAGTCTCCTACAACTACAAGCCAAGCTAGACCAAAAAAAATTAAAGATTAATTACATACGATGTTGAAAAAAATGTTTTTGTGACAAACTATAATCAGAAAAAAATAATAATATTATATCCATGAAATTTGTGACATGATTATCATGTGGGCCTTTTCTGAGAGCCCCCTAGAAGCCAAATGGTGGCCCATGTCCACCGTTTAAAACCTGTGGTCAGGAAAAAACCTGAAATATCATCAACCATTTATCTTTGTCCACGTCACTTTAAATTTCATTGATCCCTGTACTTCTCACCACAGTGGATTGCCACCTTCAGATAATCTTTCTTACAAAACCGAACTCCGGCGTTATCAACGGTGGAGATATCTCTCTTTCTTAGATCCAACGGTTGAAATTCGAAGTCGTTGTTCCCAGTAAACCTCGCGTTCTGTGGTGAACCAAAAAAGAAGATTAGATTAAACAGTGTGTGTGTTGCAATGTCTTCCTTTGATTTCCTCAATTTCTAGGGTTCCGAAAGGTAATAATGGCTACAATCGAATTGCTAAGTTCAGGAATCCGAGATAGGTTTCGATTCTCAACTTGTTGTAGTACTAGTAGTTTACTGTATTTGCATGCTTCGAGCTTTTTCCGAGATCGGTCATTGGGTTTTCGTCAGAATCCGTATCGATTTGTTTCCAATTCAATTCAGCTTCCTCACTCACTTGCGGGGTCGAGAAGTCATGAAAGGTTCAATATTTGGCAAGGGTTTTCGAGGAAGAAGAGTAGTAGTAGTAGTAGTAGAACGATTGTGAATTGTCAAGAAGGTGATCACAAAGCTAGCTCGAATGAGAGGAGAAGCGAGGGAGAAGGAAAGACGAATTCGAATTCTTCGAAGCAGAAAGGAGGGAAGCAAGGCAAGAATGGGTTATGGTGGTCTAAGGGGAAGAAATGGCAGTGGGAACCGATCATTCAAGCACAGGAAGTTGGGGTTTTGTTATTGCAATTGGGTATTGTTATGTTTGTGGTGAGACTGCTCCGACCTGGAATCCCGTTACCCGGTTCGGAGCCTCGGACACAGACGACGTTTATGAGTGTACCTTATAGTGATTTCTTGAGTAAAGTTAATAACAATGAGGTTCAGAAAGTGGAGGTGGATGGTGTTCATGTTTTGTTTAAGTTGAAAGATGATGGGAATTTGCAAGAGCTTGAAACTAGTAGTAGTAGTAGTAAGCTCTCTGAGTCATCTGAGACTGTGCTTAGAAGTGTGGCTCCGACTAAAAGGGTTGTGTACTCCACCACTAGACCGAGGGATATCAAGACACCATATGAGAAAATGCTTGAGAATAATGTTGAATTCGGGTCACCAGATAAGCGTCCTGGTGGCTTTTTCAACTCTGGATTGGTAAGGCCGTGGCATTGTAATGGTTTGTTTTCTCTGTTTAGAAGTCTGGCTTTTTTCAAATGCTTTTTTTCCACCTCTGGGAAACGCTTAAATTGAAAAAGTTTCTACCTGTTTTTTTTTTTTTTGTTGTTGTTGTTTCAGATAGTTCTGTTTTACATCGCAGTGCTTGCAGGGCTTCTCCACCGATTCCCTGTTAGCTTTTCCCAGGTTTGCACAGTCATGATATCGTAATGTGGCTGTTTAAGTTAAGGTCATGTTCACGTCCCTTAAAAGCTATGAGTTATACACAGAGTACAACGGGACAGCTGAGGACACGCAAGTCTGGTGGTCCTGGTGGTGGAAAAGTTTCTGCTGAAGGTGAAACAATCACTTTTGCAGATGTTGCTGGTGTCGATGAAGCAAAGGAAGAGCTGGAAGAGATTGTGGTAGGTTCATTTTTCCATATAGATGCTGCACTGAGCTATGTTCATGTTCTTGTTAATTTCTCTTACACATGGCTTAACTGTTGCAGGAATTTCTTAAGAATCCTGATAGGTATGTCCGTCTCGGTGCTCGTCCTCCTCGTGGTGTCTTACTGGTGAGTTAAGTAATGTAGTTACCACTTTGGCCATTTCCTAAGTATTATTTATGCACAATGTATGGTTAATATCTTTGGAATTTATGGCTTTATTTCCTTTTTGGTAGGTCGGTCTTCCTGGAACAGGGAAAACCCTTCTTGCAAAAGCTGTTGCTGGGGAATCTGATGTCCCCTTCATAAGTTGCTCTGCAAGTGAGTTTGTAGAGCTATATGTTGGCATGGGTGCTTCACGCGTAAGGGATCTTTTTGCACGGGCCAAGAAGGAGGCTCCGTCAATTATATTTATAGATGAGGTGCGAATATGTATCAGTGTTAAATTACCTCCTGTACTTTGTAACTATGTAATCTCAAACAAAAAAAAGACACTTATCTGTTTTCTTTCACTTTTCAGATAGATGCTGTCGCGAAAAGCCGTGATGGTAAATTCAGAATGGTTAGCAATGATGAAAGGGAGCAAACATTGAATCAGTTGCTCACCGTAAGTTTGTAATCAAGTGGTTTTCCTGCCAAAGTTGCTTTCATGATCTTTGCATTATCCATTTATTTGTCGGGAACTGGTTTACAGGAGATGGATGGTTTTGACAGTAGCTCTGCAGTAATCGTTCTTGGAGCTACCAATCGAGCTGATGTGTTAGACTCCGCCCTGCGTCGGCCTGGGAGATTTGATCGTGTCGTTACTGTTAGTAGAATATGTTGCTCTGTTTACTTATAATGATCATGCAGTGTAATATACTTTATCAACGCTATCTAACACTTTTTTCAGGTGGAAGCACCTGACAAAGTTGGAAGAGAATCCATTTTGAAGGTACATGTTTCAAAGAAAGAGCTTCCTTTGGGAGATGATGTCAACCTAGCTAGCATTGCTTCAATGACAACCGGTTTTACTGGGTAAACATTTGTATTTTATTCTTGACCTGACAGTTTTTCTTGCCTGCTTTTTCTTGAATATCTAGTCAACTTTTATGTTTGGTTTTATAGGGCAGACCTTGCAAACCTGGTTAATGAGGCTGCTTTGCTAGCGGGAAGGAAGAGCAAGATGACTGTTGAAAAAATTGACTTCATTCAGGCTGTTGAGCGATCTATAGCAGTATTGTGTCCTATTCTTCTGAGTCTATTGTACAGCTCATCAGAATTTGTTTCTTTACATTGCCTTGTTTCTTTCAGGGAATAGAGAAGAAAACAGCAAGGTTAAAAGGTAGTGAGAAGGCTGTGGTTGCAAGGCATGAAGCTGGGCATGCTGTTGTTGGTACAGCGGTTGCAAGTCTTCTTCCGGGACAGTCTCGTGTTGAGGTAAAGCAATGAAACTGCTTTGTGGAAAGGCCTAATACTAATGTTTACATGTGTTAGTTCTCTACTAATCCGTGGTGTTGCTAGAAATTAAGCATATTACCAAGATCAGGAGGGGCATTGGGCTTTACATACATTCCTCCAACGCATGAAGACAGATATTTGCTTTTCATTGATGAGTTACATGGCCGCTTGGTAACACTTCTTGGAGGTCGTGCAGCTGAAGAGGTAGTTTACTCGGGGCGTATATCAACAGGTGCACTTGATGATATCAGGAGAGCAACCGACATGGCTTACAAGGCAGTAGCTGAATATGGTCTCAACAACAAAATCGGACCCGTCTCTGTTTCTACACTTTCTGCTGGTGGGATTGATGACTCTGGGGGTTCACCATGGGGAAGAGATCAGGTAACATTATCTTGCATAAGCTTCCAGTTAATCTTGTTCAAAATGGAAACCAAACTCAACATGTCAGGCTTAATTCGCAGGGGCATCTAGTTGATCTTGTTCAACGAGAGGTGACAAATCTGTTGCAATCTGCTCTGGATGTTGCGTTGACTGTTGTTCGTGCTAATCCAGATGTATTAGAAGGGCTCGGTGCTCAACTGGAAGGTAAACACATTACACCACTGGATATTAATACTGTCTTCACCGAAATAAAACATGGAACCAGCTTTTTGAAAAAAAACAAGAGATTTTGTATTCTCGTGTGACCAAGTAAACGGCTAGTGCATTCAAATAGAACATGGCATGATATTGAGACTGCCCACTGGAATCACATGTTGATGGCCTTGTTTCATAGTCTAGCTCTTCAACTAGTTGACTCTGTTTTGAAAACATGTACACATGGTTTCAGATGAAGAGAAAGTAGAAGGTGAGGAGCTGCAGAAATGGTTAAATAGAGTAGTGCCGTCAGAGGAACTTGCTATGTTCATCAAAGGAAAACAAGCTGCTTTGCTTCCGGCAAAAGCTAGCTCCAGTTAACATTTACAAAGCCTCTTGTATCTATATCTCTCAGGTCAGGCCTGTGTAAGTGTAAGCATCCGATGATGACTCTGCCACACATAAAAGAATTAAAAAGCTAAAAAGGATCTACTACCTCCCTAGCGAGCAGGGCCGTCGATGACTTTAGTATGTATAGAAAAGAAAAAGCTTTTTACTTGGTATTTAACAGAGCATGTGTTGTAATATTTGCTACCTTTTTTCTGCAAAGATATTGGCAATTGTATTATTGTTTGTTCCACTTGTATATACAAAGACCATTTGTGTGAATAAACAACTTCATATGGGAAAGATGAATCCATCAAGTCAAAACCATGTGAGATTTCAACAACATTGAAGCCTTTAAGAAACATTTAGCATTTATCAATGTATGAAGAACCAGTAAGTTAAACTTAAGAAATGCCAGCAGAGTACATAGATTAGACATATTTTATCTCATTTCTTGGCAAAG